TTGAGTAGCTAAGCAGTACCATGAGTGCCATTTAACATAATGTACCCTCCCTCTCCCTCTTGGGTAGCTAAGCAATACCATGAGTGCCAGTTAACATAATGTACCCTCCCTCTCCCTCTTGGGTAGCTAAGCAGTACCATGAGTGCTAGTTAACATAATGTACCCTCCCTCTCCCCCTTGAGTAGCTAAGCAGTACCATGAGTGCCATTTAACATAGTGTACCCTCCCCCTCGGGTAGCTAAGCAGTACTATGAGTGCCAGTTAACATAATTTACCCTCCCTCTCCCCCTTGGGTAGCTAAGCAGTATCATGAGTGCAATTTCAATGAACAACAACAAATCGGGGAACAGGGACAGCCTTTGGTTGTTTGCACTAAATTTCTTCGTGGCAGTAGTTGCACTTTTTGCTGGTTGTAGCAGTGGCCAACTGTGAAATATAAAACATCTCTGAGATGATAATTTGCAATTCTATGATCTGCACCCTTGTTTGTCACAAAATGATTTTACATACCTTCGTTAAGAATGTAAATGTTCTAATAGCCCCTAAATTGTCATATGATATTATGATTTATTTCAGATTTATTTGCTGAGGATCTGTTTGAAGTGACATCATGCTATTTCCCTATTGATTTCACTCCAGTAAGTTTTCTTAAACCAGCCAATCTATTTGATCTGGATTCAGTTTTCGTTGACATGTAAACCTGTCCATCTTTGGTAAAGATGAGAAGGAATACTCTGACAATCATCCGTCAGTTGGCTTGAAGATCATACATTAGTTTTTGGCAAAATATGAGTGCGTGAGAACTTGAGTTATTTAAAGAAGATCGTCATTAAGTCAAATTACGTTGCTGTACTGTACATTACAATATGAAATAGAGCTAATACTATACATATTAATAACAGGTACAACAGAATTAGAGCAATACTTTGAAGTATATGTTTTATGAATTATTAGTAAAAGCCTTTGACCAAAAATCCAGGTCTTTTCTTTCTAACTGGTATTGTTCTAAGAGGTTAAGTGGACATTTGTGGGAATGCTATCCTTTAGGTTGCATGTGGCAAAGATATCAACGTTTTCAAGATAATTATGATTTACCGGATAGAATCAAAGGATATTACATCAAGTTTCAAATATAAGTATAATTTTTTTTTTCTCAAATTTGGAGAAAGCCAAAGTACTGTTAGGCAAACTTGGTGGTTCTATTATTTATGATGTTGAATTATATAAGATGGTAAATTCATGCTATATTTTAGGTGACACACTCTACATGTATGTACAGTACATACCCTGGTTGTAAAGATTTTGTTCACAGTTTTTTTAAACTGGTGAAATAAAAACTTTCTCCTTATTGTAAAATTCACTCATTTTATCTCCTTAACCCATGATTGCCAATATTTAAAGAGGTGTGATATGCAAAAAAAGGAATTCCAATGAATTAGGTATATACTGGTGCTACAAATGTCAAGAGAATTTCTCTCCTATTGCCTTAACCTCTCCCTATATATTTATCCATACATTATACAGCAAACAGGTAATGAGAATACTCAACCTTATCAAGTAGAAGTAGTTATCTTGAACCAACACTAAATTATATTGACAAATTGGCAAGGAAATGTGTAGCAGCTAGAGGGGAGAATTAAGGATCAGGTCCTGGGAGTAGAAGGGTGTAGCATCAATGGTGGCTCTAATAGGTGAAAAGGAAAGTATTAAACACTTTTGACATCATCTTCTCAGCCTCTTGCTTTCCGATCGTTCAACGATGAAGTAAATAAACTGGAGTTTGTTCAGGCAAGTTCACAGCTCTTGCCAAACCAGGTGACAGGGGCTTGGAATTGCCCTAACAAGCTTCTTTGCTGGTCCTTGTTTTACCGGCGAACCAAAGTTTTGCATGAACGGACGAAAAAGTGGCCAGAAAAAGCCAACACAACTCTGTAAACATTGCTGCAAAATTATTGAGCCAGTTCGCAACCGTCTTGAAACTTTGCTCTAAAGACCGTTTTTCGGCGCGAGAACAATTTTCTTACTATTTGTACACCCTCTCAATTTTTTAAAATTCTTTTCTTCTTTTCAAAAATGAGAATTAAAACCTTATCTTTTTAACGGCTTCCTTATTTTTTAAACTTTTGTAACGGCTGTTCATTTCCCGAAAAATTGATCGAGTTTAAATAAGCGCGCGTCTGAGCCCGCGCTTCTTAACGCGGGTCTCTGGCGCATGCGCAGACGATTTTCCATCCCTGTCATCCTGAACGAGATGGACGACGACTCGTGCTCGATTGGGCATGCGTGGTAGCATCGAAGTTCGTTTTCCCAACTTCCGGTCGATCACGTTGACGTTCTCGTCGTCATTGCCAAAGGTCCCTGCTTGAGCTACTTGGCGCTATATCGAAGGCGTTCGTCGAGGGTAAGAGTAAACAGTAATTTTGGTCAGCGGACAAATTATGAAACCCGCGAATATTGCGAAATCCCGCGAAAGGATGACATTTAAAAACCGAAGACAATTTTTGACTAAGACACTAGAATGCGTAATGATGGCGACGACTCAGTCATTATATGAAAATAATACATGTGTACTCTGCTTTCATAAAATGTATGAAAGCGTTCTTCGCAATAATAAACCCTACTTATCGAGTAGTTACTTGGAAATAAGGCCTGTAAAAATTTTAGGTCCGTGCGGAAGTTGAACCTAGGACCTCTGCGATACCGGTGCAGTGCTCTACAAACTGAACTAACAAGCCAACTGGGAGCAGGTTATTATGTTGGTTCGTAGTGAACCCGGTGATAAATTTGAATAAATGAAAATCATATATGTGTACTGCGGTTTCATAAAATATACGAAAGCGTTCCTCGCAGTAATAAACCCTATTTATCTAGTGGCGACTAAGTACTGTAGACATGACTTATTGACTTGCCCTGCTCTGCCGACAGAACAGCGAATATGATAGGCATGCAATGTCTACTTTCAGTGCTTATAACAAGTGTAAAACGATTAAGTCGTAAGTGAAAAAAGCTGTTCCTTCAATTTAAAACGGCAGTCACTTTGAGAATAAAGTTACCCTTTATTTGCCTGTCATTCTCTTTGTAGTGAGGTCGCTGACCCCAAAACGGGCTGGCTTTCTCTATCTCTGCCTTGTATCGAGCTATTGCACTTTAAACAGAAGGATGGGTACAAGTGCGGAATTGTCATTTGTCTCACGTAAGTAGCTAACTCGCTCTGCACCCACGCGCGACATTTAGTTTTTAATTTTATACAGAAGTCACTATTCTCATTAAATCATGAGGTGTTAAGGTACGAAATATTTACCCTCACAAGGTAACTAGGAAGAAAGTGCATTCGATTAAATATACCTTAGCAACGAATTATTTCTGCCTTAAAAGGAATTTAACGGAATATTACATATTCTTCACTCATTTTTCCCAATGATTGATTGTTGTTTTCGATTGTTTCTTTCAGTTTGCTAGTTGTTTGTGCGAAGAGTCCTCCGTAGATGCAGCTTTCAACATATCAACCGAACGTGCTAATAAAGTCTATGGTGTTTGGCTGTTGTTCATCATCATCATCTTCACCAGGTCCACATCAGGACGTAACTTCTTGCCTATCCCTCAACCTGCTTTATTAAATAAACTATGATGATGATGATGATGATGATGAAGTGAATGATCATGAAATACTTGTTCCGTCCGCTGTAGGAGAAATATCAACGTCTGCATAGTGTGCAATGACGACGATGGAGGAGATTGGCTGGGATGCGACAGTTGTGGGCAGTACTTCCACGCAAGTTGCATCAAAGTGGATTTCTCAGACTCTCCGCTAGCTACTTTGTCTGCCCTTGTTAATTTCACAACATCGTTGCGGATTAGTGACGTAAATTGATGGTGGAGAATATTCTTCCCAGTGTGGGACTGGGTTAAGACTAAGCTAGGCTGTGTATAATTCCTAAAATTCCCGTTATTTCACGAATTATTTGACGCTAAAGTGTTGACAAGTTTTTCGCATTACGTAAGTGAAAAATTGACTCAACGCTGCAGGGAGAATCTCCCTCAAAATTTACCTTTTTAAGAGTCGAAGTTACCGTCCAAAATTCAAACGTTACTGTTAGGTTTATTTGCGCATTGATAACCTTGTAAATAACTCAAACATAGTGAAAACATTTTCATTCGTTTTTGTATATCTTCATCCTTTGTTCAGTACGAACTTAGGGGCCGACCATTTAACTCTTGAAGGGGGGGGGGGGGGGGG